GAAGCAGGCTCTTCTCGCACAAAGTAGAAGCTGATATCTTGCCACTCTCTGCCACACATGCCTCTGCAGGTACATGTGTGTAAGGAGGCTCTGGAATCCAGGTTCCACGTGTACTGAAAAGCTGAATGATTGAAGCGTGGGCAAAAGACCATTTTCTCCTTTGTGATCTCCTTGGAGAATGTGTGACATCCGCATCTCAAGCAGACCGGGGTGCCTGAAACTGAGAAGATTGAAGGTCTGTTTTATTAAAATCAAATTCTGTGTCTAGCTGCCTAGGTGAATTAGGCACTAACACCACCTTCTTGCACAGGATGCAAGCAAGTGGCAGTCCCTGAAAATACCAGTCTCTGTAACAATTTTCTTGGAAACTGACAGAAAGTTAAAATGGCCCATGTGGAATCGCCCAACTGCATGTTGGCATCAAAAGAGCTTGGCCAGCACATCGAGGGAGGTGATCCTCCCCCTCTGCTCTGCACTGGTGAGGCCACATTTACACTGCTGTGCCCAGTTGTGGGCACCTCAATTAAGTGAAGTTAAAAGACAGGGACGGAGGAGAGTCCAGCAGAGGACGACCACAAGGATGACTGGGGGCCTCCCATGTGAGGAAAGGCTGAGTAACCGCGCTCCGTTCAGCCTGGGGAAAAGGACACTGAGAGGGGATGTGGTAAACATTTATAGCTATCTAAAGGAAGGTGGGAGGCAAATGGGTGAGGCCAGGCTCTTCTCGATGGTGTGTAGCAAGAGCACAAGGAGTAACGGCCTAAACCTTGTACATAGGAAGCTTCGTACTAACATGCAGAAGAACTTGTTTATGGTAAGGGTGATGGAGCACTGGAACAGGTTGCCCAGAGAGGTTGTGGGGTCTCCTTCTCTGGAGACATTGTTCAAAACCTGCCTGCATGTGTTCCCGTGTGACCTAATCTAGGAGTTCTTGCTCAGGCAGGGGATTGGACTAGAGGAGCTTCCCAGGTTCCCTCTAATCCCTGTCGTTTGGTGATTCTGTGATTCTGCCGTTGGTATGGAGAAGAGACAGCAGCTATTAATAGGAAGACTTGGTAAAGAAATACTCTTTTCACATCTTAGCCAGGATTCTGGCATTTATTGAATTTTAATAAATGATACAATTTTTTTTAGCTCTTCCCTTCCCCTCCCTTCCCTTCCCTCTTCGCTTTGCTTCTCTCTTCGCTTTGCTTCTCTTTGCTTCACTTCGCTTCGCTTCTCTTCGCCTCGTCTTCCCTCACCTCGCCTTCTCCTTCTCCTTCTCCTTCTCCTTCTCCTTCTCCTTCTCCTTC